GCTGTGTTTGATCAAGTCCAGAGTCAGTGCAGCATCTACCAGGAGATTTTACCTCACTTCATGCTTCCATCTGCTGACAAGCTTTACTGAGATGCTGATTTCCTTTTCCAGCAGGAGGCACCTGCCCACAGGGCCAAAACCACTAGTTACTGGTTTGCTGGCCATGGTGTTACTGTGCTTAATTGGCCAGCCAACTCACCTGATCTGAACCGTAATAGAGAATCTATGAGCTGTCAAAAGTAAAAGTAAGAGACACCAGACCCAACAATACAGAAGAGCTGAAGGTCGCTATGAAAGCAGCCTGGGCTTCCATAACACCTCAGCAGAGTCACAGGCTGAGTGCCTCCATGCCATGCCGCATTGATGCAGTAATTCATGCAAAAGGAGCCCTGACCAAGTAGCCTACTAAGTACATAAATAAACCTTTTTCAGAACTTTTCAACTTTTCAAAAGGTCAACATTTCTGTATTATACATTCTTTATTTTAATATTCTAATATTTTTGAGATATGGACTTTCTGCATTAGCTGTACGCCAGAATCATCAAGACTAACAAAAAAAGGCTTGCATATTTCAATTTATGTGTAGGCCTAATGATTCAAGAATATATGAAAGTTTCACTTTTTGACTTAAATTACAGGAAAAAATGTATAACTTTTCAAAGATGGAATTAGAAATGGAAATACTCAAATAATGTACGTCAGATTTGTATTTAAGTACAGTACTTGAGTAAATGTGGTTAGTTGAAATCCACCACTGGACACTACTTTTAACTGTCTATATGAGTTATGTTAAACTGGCGTCAAAGTAATACTGACTATTTTTCAGTCAAGAAGATGATTGATGAATTGATGTCATCTCTGTGGCAATATGAGGATGCAGCCACAAGGCGGCAGCAGAGGCGTTTGTATCACACCCTGTGATTTTAAAGACTCCCGCTGGTAAGCAGGGTAAAAAAGAACACAGGGGAGTCTGCCTGCTTCTCATTAAATGTAAGTTACACCATAAATAATCCAATCACTGTGGCAAAAAAAATATAAAAACATTGCGTCCTCTTGTCTTCATCCAGCTGCAGTCGATGACATGTTTTCCCGTTTGGTGTCGATTTATATCTTTCTGCACACATGAATTCACTGAGTAGGTGGTTTACAAAAAAATTATTAATCAATAATAAGAACCACATAAGCTCATGTAGGCGTACGTTTTTTTTTCTTCTGATTGACCTCTTGTTAGTAACCATACAAACTCTTTGCGCTCTAGCAAAAAAACGGATGAATTTTCTAATAGCTCTTTTGTTTGTTTTATATTTTTCAGTAGCATTTTTCAAAGAATAGTATTGGCTTTAAGTGGCCCCAATTTTGGAAACACCCAGGATACATTTTCTGATCTGAGTGGGTGTTTCTAAAGACAGCATACATTTACTGTATCCTGCTGGAGAGAACTATGGGATTCACAGCTGATGAATGCATATTTAAAGAGATTTATCAGGAGGTTTGCGCTCACTATAACATTGTAACAAATTGTAATAAGATTTATATAGGTTAACATTCATGTTAAACTTTCATTCATTAAAAACGTCCAGCATAAGGCCTATAAGCTATGGAATTCAAATAGGCCTAAAGTTGGAAATCATGGGCCTTTATGTGTTCGATTATGTCTGTCTTTTTTCACACAATAGTTCATACAGCTGAGTTTTTTGCAGTTAATCATAACAGATTCATAGGCATTGGAAATGGTAATTAGACCACGAAATCTTAGTGGTTAGGCTATGAATCTTTCCTAAGGTCAGACATGCACAGTTGTTTCCATTATTTCTCCAAATTATTTGAAATTACATTGTTTAATGAGACTAGATTTTATGGCAGGTGTCAGGGCTGCAGGTCAGAAAGATGGGACTGTTTTCTCAGAACGAGATATGCATGTTACATTCTGCACCACACAGGGAAGACACTTTGATCTGTTCATCAGTTTAAGTTAAAGTAGGCCTATGTCGGGGAGATCAGATAACAAGAGCCATTTTAGGCCTTAAAAAGCGTCATTGGCTTTTGAAAGCAGATTCTTTTGGTCAGCCTGGGGCTATGTGGCTTTGGGGGTGGAATTACATCATACTGAAATTTCCTCACGTCTTTTTTTACTTTAGCCTGTACTGTGACTTTTTGATTATTTTGTTACTCAACCATGGCAGATAATTATGAGATTAACTATAATTCTATCCCGGTTAAAGGTTTTAGCCTGTTGGTCGCATATTAATCTTACCTTGTTTTAAAAAATATAGGCCTAAAGGCCTGTGTGCTCCTTTTCGCAGCTCAAACCATTTTAGAGAGCATGCTGCTTTACATAAAACATAATAAAAGCGGGGTTTCATCTAGAAACTATAGATTGTTTTGATTTATCCCGCTCAGGTGTGTTATACTGTGGCGCATGCGCACTGCACGACCGTCAGGTGAAGTCGGCATCGTAAACCTCTCTTGGTTTCACTCATTCGCTGAGTCTCAGTGGGATTGCTGTGACTGGAGCCTTACAGATGTCTTTACTGGAGAGGATAGACTGGAGGGTGAGTTTATTCGTGTATTTTCCTGTTACAGCTGACTTACTTTAAGCCAACCAGCATCATGTTTATCGCTTTTTGCTGCTGAGCCTATATTTGTTTTATTGCTTTTCACCATAATCACCTGTTTGTAATCGCGCAGCGCCGTATGCGCTTTTGAGTAACCCGTGATTAATGTCGAGAAGGCCAAGGCTTTGTTCTCTCAAAAACTTCGAGTAATTTGATTTGAGGCTACTGGATTAAAACGCTGTAGTGCTGTTTATGGTCGAAACTGAAATAGACTTTGAAATAGACTTTCAATAAATGTAATTACTGGGCATATAGCCTATTTGTTTTTTCTCTCTTTTGTTATTTCTACAACACAAACATATTTATTTAATTATTTATTTTTGATGAAATTGCAGCATGTCGCCTCAGTGAAAATAGTCCTGCAAGACCATAGAGAAATCATAAGTAAATCAAATAAAGTTAAAGGCATTACCTAGGCTAATACAAACATAGGGTAACATACATGTGCATATAGATCATTTACAGTATCACAGTGAACTTTATAAGGGGCTATGTGGTCTTTGTTGATATTCTAAATAAAAGGAGATATAAATCAGGTTATAGATAAGCCTTATAACAATTGTTTTATATTACAGTATTTATGGACACATATCTAGCCTATAGAAACGTAATAAAAAGTCACTAAGTAGAACTCCCTAATTGTGTGAAATTTAATTTTTTTCCGGCCGTGGATCCCTTTAAACCTTAGCCTACACCTGACATCAGCTTAGTCGGTTGTCACTGCAGTCGACTGTCATTTAAAATGGCAAGCTTATAGCATCAGCATTGTACGGAACATCACGGTCAGGCCAAGCGTGACTAACTTCCTTTAGGTCTGCTCCGCGTCTCTTCCAACGTGAAGTAGGCCTAACATTTAATCAGCGCGCATTTCACTTGTGCTCCGCATCACAACAAGCCCAAGCCCAACTCGCAAAAAAAGATAATCCTCAGTCGCCCACGTCCTGTTGTTCCCATGCACAGCCGATCACCGCAGCATCCACCACATGGCTGTTATCCTAAAAGACAAAGGTCCGTCCAATAATCTCACAAATTATAATCTGACATTTTAATAGGGGTACTAAATATGACTTCAAATTACATTACAGTACTTTCTGTTGCGGAAGGAGATATTTCAAAATGCCGAATTTGAAAGGTTTAACGGCAACAATAAAACTGACTAACGAAATAACGAAAAATCTTTACAGTTAAAAAAAGAAGAAGGGGGAAAAAACATCTTTTGTCCTCACCTTGGGATTTGGTGCATATCAAAGCTTCAAAGCAGCCCCTGTTTTGGACATTGCAAAGCTCCACCAAAAATGTAAATTCTGTTAAGAAAGACTTGTTTGTTGAGATCCTTTGAGCTTTAGAGGTTTTTGAGAGACTGATGCTGCTAAACCCCCGGGCTTACTGCGGTTTGAAACAAGCACTTAACCACCACTGTGAAACACCTAGGCTACATTAAAATGGGTTCTTTTGAATGCCTATTATTCTATTTTAGCATTCAAAACGCAGAGATATACTATCTTGATATCTTGCTCATTTTGAGTCGGTAAACATGATGAGCACAAGTTTAGTTTAATCCAGGCATGCATAAGGAACATATAGAGGCTATTATTCCACTATAGGCCTACTTCTAATAACAGTAAATGCAAATTCCATCACTGCGAACAATAATAATTATAATAATAACAACCATAATAATAGGCCTAATGCTAAGAAGTATAATGTTAAAACAACGATTAAGATCAAAATCACCTTTGGTTGTCTGGAAGTCGGCCACAGCAACAATCAACGTTGTGTTGGCTCAGACTCAAAATTAAAGAAAAGAAAACAAATGTTGTATTTTTACTCAACAAGAAGGGAAAATAAGTTGTTTCCTTAATAACTGGAGGAATATTTAAAGAACTATAACTTCGAATCTCTTTGTTAACCATGGATCTCAGTGTGTCTATGACTCAGAGCCTACAGGTATCCTCCTACACATTTTAAAGCCCTGTATTGTAGCCACTGAGCGGCCTTGAGGAGATAAAAACAACCTTGTAGGTGGTGGGAGACTTCAGTCACTGTAAGCCATGAGAAGTTGGCTATAGTGAAATCCATAGGGTTTAAATGTCTGACGCTATACATACGGACAGAATTCTGATTGGACAGTTATCCCGCCAATCAGCAATATTTTCATTTTCCCTTTTCACTGACATCATCGCGCTGGGTGACGCCCACTCGGAGCGGCTGTGCAGATATAGTGCAGTGCTCGGTGTGCACCAATGAGACTGAACGTCGCTGTTTTGTCCATAAGAGGGAGTCAAGTTTCTTATATGCACCATTTTCGCCCGCTTCCACAACAGAACTACAGAGCACGTTGACCGGAGAGGGGGGTAATACTGCTTGACAACGATTATTTCTCTCATAGTGGCTGTGGAAACTCATATCTGCGGTTGGATAGTCAGTCGGTCGGTCAGTCCGCCCCTTCAGCCTTCACCCACAACTTCGCCTCTTTGCCGCAGCTGAAGAACAAGGGGGTTCATGATCATCAGGAAGCTCTTAATTTATTCATACCTGGATTAACTCACAGGCGGCAATAGTTTTTTTCTTTTTCTTTTAGTCTTTTTTTCCCCTCTAACGGATAGTCTTTTTTCCCTCGTCTGTAAGAATGTTGTGGAAATTAGCCGACAACGTGAAATATGAGGATGACTGTGAGGTAAGTTTCGATAGAGATGCAAACAGAGGGGAAAGTTCCTTTTGACATCGAACAAAAGTTTGCCATTCAATGACACGCGCATGTCTATATGGTTTGATATGCGCCTTATAAGCTGGTGATAGTGATAAGATAAGATCAGTGGAGATAAAATGGAAATCCTAATCAGTCAGAATAACAGACCACAACAGGAGGACAAAAACGGCTGAAGTCAATTGTGTGTGTGTGTGGGGGGGGGGGGTTGACGCCTGTAACTGTAAAAGCAAGACGCAATTTTCAGAAGAAATAGATGATAATTACCTATTTCTATAAAAACAACAGTAATATTATGAAGCCATAATAATAATAATTATTATAAGAAGAAGAAGAAGAATTAAAATAGCCTAATTATAAGAAGAAGAAGAAGACTTCCAGACTTCTACTAGAGGCGACTACTAGCCTAAAATAAAATAAAAAAATTCAAAAACATATAGGCCTATTTTCCAAATGTTGCATAGTCTAATTTATAAGGCTACTTTATAGGGCTATAAGAAACACGTAAGGACATAATAAGATTTCAATAGCCAATTTAATTTAGACTAAATAATGAGGTAGGCCTAGATTTCTTTCCCACGCTAAAGAATAATATGTAGGCCTAATAAATATAGGATATGTTCACATTAAAATTGTAGTTAAAATAATATATATATATATATATATATATATATATATATATAAGAGTTTATCTTCAGTGGACATCATGCCACTACCTGCTATCTTGTCATGCCTCACAGCTGCCTTGTCTCTTCCGTCCCTCAGGAAAGGCACGACGGCAACAGCAATGGGAACCCCCGGCTGCCTCACCTGCCAGCGGTCAGCCAGCACCTCTACAGCCCTTCTCCGTCCCTCTCCCACTCGGGCAGTTCGGACTTCCAGCCCCCCTACTTCCCGCCTCCCTACCAACCCATCTCCTACCCGCAGTCCAGTGACCCCTACTCCCACCTCGGCGACCCTTTCAACATCAACTCCATACACCAGTCGCAGTCATCGAACCAGCAGCAGGCGTGGCCCGGCCGGCAGGGCCAGGATGGTCTCGTCGCCCACGGGAGGAGCGGACTGGCGAGTCAGATCCTGGGCCTAGAAGGAGGCTCGTCAGGGGTGAGGAGGGAAGGGTTCCGCCGGCCGGAGTTGCTGCCCCCACACCCGCACAGCATAGAGCCGTCGGTTATTGGCGATAACATGGGGATGCACGACATGGGGCACGGACTGGAGGATGTTCAAGTGAGTGGATTTGACTGAGATGATCTTTGAAATTACACTTTAGATGTGTGTGGCCATCGCTGAGGTGTGCGAGCTTGCTGGCATGCTGCATTTAGGCCAAATAATAGCCTACACTTTAGGATGCCATTCAAGCAGACATTAAAGCTAGTTAGCTTACAGGAACATTATTTTGGGAGATTAAAAAACAACCAAAGGCCACAACTAAGGCATATTTCCACACTGGATTGGAATATTACAGGGACAGCTGTTTTGTTGACTACCATTGATTGATATGCTTATTGCTGCTTCTGTTCTTTTTCATCAGAATGTAGATGACCACAGTATTATTATGGCAGATCAGACAGTCATCAAAAAAGGTGAGTTGCCTCCACAACTAATCTATAACTTTTAGTGCCAAAGGACCACAGCTTTGTTCATTTGAAAAGAAAGGAAAAACAAGTTTTGGAAAATGCTGCCTGGGGTACATGTGTCTTTGTATAACCAAATAAAGATGTAGTAATCACTGGCTGGAAATGTACTGTTAAAACAATATTTTCTTTTCTACATACTTCTATAGTGGCATGTCAGGACACTCAGTGCAAGAGTACAGCAAAGGAGGAGTCTTGTATTTGTACTTGCACTGCATACACTGATAATCCTCATATCCATGAGATGCACTTATCTAAGCTTGATATGATCCACAGCCTATTCTGTTGGTGAAGGTGTTGAATGGATGCCCAGTGTGAAAGAACTGATCCCTTTTTTATAAAAAAAAAAACAACAGAACGACAGGCTATTGACAAGACTTGAAAATTGAGCAATCCCACAACCTCGGTGTTGACTGTGAGAGAAGAGGAAAGCTTTGGATCATCTCTAGGCTGGTTAAGCTTGCAATTGCAGCTCTTTTCAGTTCACGTTAACAGGAAATTATGAGTTGATCTGGAAGAAGTGTTTGGCTCTGCAGAACCAGCTTTTGGCGGGGTGTGGCATTAGGCTTGCATGTGAAGGACAGTTTAGTAATTTGTTGGGACATGAACTGTTTTGAGGGAGAACTTATTCCTGCTGTTTTATCATCAGGGCTCCATTAAGCAGACTTTGACTCAGAGAATGATCAGGATGAGCGATTATTCTACAGCTTAGCTTTCCACATTTATTAAAACCATACACAGGCAGATAGATAGATAGATAGATAGATAGATAGATAGATAGATAGATAGATAGATTTCTGTAGAAATCTATAAAACCATGATATAATATTTCGTATAAAGACATGTTTTACCATTCATTTTAAAATATTAAATAATATCAATAATACGATGCGTAGTCACGAGCAGAAAGCCATTTGCACCTGCGCAATACACCAACCACTCTCCATTTGTTACGGAATTCAGTGATGGGTCATTATATCGTTCCCATGCTCAAGGGCTCGCCATGGGCAATCTAGGTTTTCCACTTGTAAACAATGGCATGTCATTCCCAGCCATGTGCCCCAGAGGAGCCTTAAAGTACTCATGTGACTCTGTGATTTCTGTCTCAGTATTAGGACTACGAGGTGGCAGGAACCTTGATCGCTTACAGAGGACTTATTATCAGGGGGGCGTTCTTGCGGGTGAGGATGAAGATAGCTATGTTTTGTAGTGTGCTGTACTGTTTTGTGTGTCCGATGCCTGTCAGTGCTTTTGTGGGGGGGGGATGTCATCAGCAAAAAACACACAAAATGTCTAAAATTCCTAGAGCCTGTCAGACCAAATAATAAACAGTAGTGAAGTGCATCTGTGGCTTAGAGGAGGGGCAGTCTGTGTGTGTACCTGTTTGTGGATGGTGTTTGGCATGAGGGCATTTTAGCTGTTTAACCATCAGGCATCCAGTATTTGGAAAACAACACAATATTTCAAAAGTAGTTTCTGTAGCTGTCTCTTGTATAGTTTTCTACAGCTGACACTGGTTTTCTCAGTCGTGCAGAGCGGCAAACACACTCTTCCACGTGATTACGTACAAGAAAGCACAGATTCTCTTTTGCACAGAAAGGATTACGATGATTATAGCTTATGCACACACACAGGAAATAAAACAAATTCTCTTGTACAACCAGAATATTTTTTTCTTTTCTTTTGTACTGTTTTACTGTTCAGCTAACCAATGTCCCCCCCACCCCACCCCGCAGGGCCTGTCACTCTACCCAAAGGCAACGCTCTGGGTCTTCCTTTCCAGAAAGAGTCCCTGCTTGGCATGGTATCAAACCCAACAGAGGTGTTCTGCTCCGTACCAGGCCGTCTTTCCCTGCTGAGCTCCACATCCAAATACAAGGTTACCGTGGCTGAGGTCCAGAGACGTCTGTCACCCCCTGAGTGCCTCAACGCATCGCTCCTGGGAGGGGTTTTACGCAGGTCAGGGTTTTACGCTCAGACTCATTCAGGATGACAGCAGTGTGGATTTAATGGTATTTTCCTGTTAAAAGTCTTGAACATAACACAGAAACACAGTGGCACTGATTCAAAAAAGATTAAGGGGATCAAACCCAAACATAATTAATTTCCTTGTTTTTTATCTATATCTCTGCAAGCTGTTGATAAGGTTGTTTGATTGTCTCAGATATGAATAATTATCAAAGTGAGGAGTTCCAGCTCTGATCTGTAGACTAAAGCTCAGCAGCCCATGGGAAAGGCTTTTCTAAAACACAGCGTTGCTCAGTTGCTCTGGCTCATCAGTTTTTTTGCATAAGGTTCGTGACATTCTTTGTGTGGTCTGCAATTTTGGTTCTCTGCGTCCTCTGGGGATTGGTCACATCAACACAGTTAGTACCAATCTAAAGACTCTGGGTGCGTTTTTGTGTGTTTATCAGGGGTTGCAGCATGGGTAGGTTTGTCTGTGGCAGAGCAGTTGACCTTATTGCACATATGTTAGTGTGGCAGTCTGTTGAGGGACTGTGAGGTTACAGTATGTACTCAGCATCCCTGACCGGAGCATTTTGTGCTCGGAGTGCACGTTTGCCACTTCCCATGTGCCTGTGATAATGCTGACATGCACACACACACAAACACACACACTAACACACACATGCACAATCACATATATTTTTAAGTAGGTCATATAGCAATAGGAGGGGGATCGTTAGCAGAGTAGCAAGGAGACGAAGGGGTGGGGGTACTCATACAGACATGCCTCCCTAAAGATGCTCCCTCTCTCACCCACCATGGAGTGGGAGAGCTTACCCGCCAGTCATGCGGAAAACT